TTCAATGATTTACACGGTAACAAAACTTTTTGGGATACCACTCATGAGTTTTATCGCACACAACTTTCATTCATCAGGTTGTAGAAACGTCGGGTAAAATGAAACCCACGAAAAGTTCTGTTTATTAAAAAAAACTACATAATATACATATATTTTGTCATACCACTCATGAGTCATATCTTACACAGTCATGTTACAGTGTAAATCATTGAAACGTTGAGCAAAATGAAACCCGAGAATAGTTTATCATAAGATAGTTCCGTTTTTTTTTTAAAAAATCCTTTATCTATACTTTTCTAGCACATTAAAGTGATTAAATAACACTAATAATTATATTGCCTGTCATTATCATAAAATTACCATTATCATTATTATTATTATCACTAAAAGAACATAACACGCAATTAAGTAAGTACTTTCTCGCGAGCAGTTGCGAAATAATGCTGAACGATTGTATTTCTACTATTAATGGTTCTGACGACTGGCCTCTAAAATATTCATTACGAAAAGGAGAAGAGAAAATGACATTTTGTGGTGTTCTATTGTACAGTTGGCTAGGACGTAGGTATATACGTTCATGGCAGCTGTGGGTTCCGATATTGTTGGTCGTGTGAAAGTCCAGTCATGCACCCTCACTCATAATTCCGGTCGACCCAGCTGTATATGGGTACAGATATTGCTCAAGATCAATTCCAAGAGGACTTGCCTAGGACCAGCTGATAGAAAGGATCCTTAATTATGAACCGTGTTATCCTTGTACAATATAGTTGTTTCTTTCTTTTTCTTACTATCTAATGATAGCACAAACGAAATCATCATGTCCATCTTGCCAGCAGATTGTGTTTAGCATATCATTTCTGAGCCAAGAATTAAAACTGCGAAGAGTTTTATCGTCATATCGTCTGGGTGAAGATATGACATAAATAATAAGCTTTTCATTTAAATCATGATATAACGATCACAAATTGTGGTCAACCAAGTGCTGGAACATTGTATAGCTCCATTCCATTGTGTACAACTATCCATCAAGGATAAACTATTTCCTCCACATCCATGATCTAACTTATAACGATGGATGTCGGACACGTAATATGACTTATCGCACTGTTGCGAGTTGGCCTTGCGACTAGATTTTCAACGACTGCTAGAAAATGGTAGTAACACGGATTCTAGACCAGACCAGATTAATCTTACTGAAAAATCACAATTGCGGATCAGTTTGTTCGCTCTTTACGTTCTAGTGGAACTTGCGACCATCCACTAGATCGCAGTTGCTAGAAATTGCCTGATATCAATATGAGTGCTGCTGGTACAGAACGCTTTTGGACCCCTTCCTTTTTTTACAGCCTAACATTAACATTGCTATCAGCAATCACCATGTAATGAAATTTTTTCAGGAGAAAGCTGATATTGGTGAATTAATGATATCATTATGTTACTTACCAACAGCCGGCAGACTTACTTTAACTATTGTTAAAGCCAGAAACCTGAAGGCTATGGATATTACAGGCCAAGCTGGTAGGTCAATCCTTTTTACTAAAAAACCAACCCAAATGAAGGTAGGGCGGTTCTGAGGATTACAATAGATTTAGTCGATCTGAGTGCATCGACGTTTTAAATATTCCCATTGTCACCAGGAACGCACTATTTATGACATATTTTCAAGCACAAAAGCGACCTTACCGTCGGAAGTTGTGACCATTTAGCTGATCAAGGTTGTCAGTGACCGACCAGTGTATCGATATAAGCTCTTCGCTCGTGTCGACTCTGATCAGATATTTAAATTTTTAATAGACTTGAGTCCACCTTTAGTTATCTTCGAATTTAATTATACTGCTGTGTCGCCATTTTGTTTTTCTGAAATTGCTGCTCGAAGCATTGTAAATCAAATTGGCCATATTAATATATCTATGAATCATGAAAACCCTCCTACCCAGATTATTTGTTGTATGTGTTGAAAAGAAATGTGTCTTTGAACTGCACTTTGTAGTGTGTCTGTGAAACAAATGTCCATTAAGTAAATGAGTCTCACGAGTCTCTCTTTGTAAGTCATTTTCTTGTATAAAGCGTCCGATTTCCCCTTAGACTATTTCAATATAAGGCTGACGACACACATAATTATACAATTATCACAAGTCTGAACAATTTCAGTCCACTATCTTGACCGTTCAGTTGAATAATGTTGAGAATAATGACCCTTGGTCAAGTTTTTATAATGGTGGAATCACCTGATTGAGACTTATAGAGCACCAATTCGTTGTTCGCAATTCGTTGCCTATAACACTGACGAAATGATCGAATCGAAACCACTCAAAATTACGAAATCTTATATGTATACCCTTCCTGTTGTTTTTTTTTAAGAGGGGGGGGGGGGGGGGTGCTATATGTAATATGTTTGCAAATTTGACGGTCAAACTTTAAAAGGGTGGTAAAGATGTCTTCTTTTCATTATTCCAATTTCCAATCCAGACGTCTGTGGTTCCTGAAATTGCAACAATATGACGTCACTTAGCTAAAGCTGCTAAAAAATTTAAAGCAGGTTTTACAAAAGTGACGTCATAAAACGCTTAGTTTAATGGAATCGAAAATCCACAGACCTCTGATTGAAAATTGGAATATTGCGAATTGGTGCTATCAGATTCCCCGATACACATACAAAGTTTAGAAAACCTAATTCCTTAAAGTGCAAAAAAATATATACATCGCTTTTTAACACCATCAAAAAGTGTTTGTTAAGATGAATATTTGTGGAAATATTCTTCCTTAAAGTAATTATTATGATGGAAACTTCTCTTAAATCAAATAAAATGATACCTTTACCATCTTTTATTATATACTTTAAGATCCTTATGTTAAAGTATCGTTGATGTGCCAAGGAAAACGGATAAAGAAAAAGAAAACGTCAGTTCAGAAAAATACTCTACAACCAATATTTAATGAAGCTCTGGTTTTTGATGTCCCACATGAAAATGCAGAGGATGTGTACCTTAAGATAAAGGTTGTGGACTATGATAGGTAAGTTTTAGACGAACTGCGCCTCCATAGATTTATATAACAAATGCTTTGTTCCGTTATGCAATTTCGTAGGGATGGCTAAATGAATTCTTTCGAGTTGCAAAAATCAAGTCAACCCTATTATTAAAGGGACAGATGCGCTTTTTTTATTGACCAATCATACTTTAGCCTCAGATAAGGGAATTCTCTGGATAAGCCAATCAGTAATAGTGTTCACAGATCACCGTCCAAATTTGAGCCATCGAATCCATGTGTGTCGAGAATTATCCGCGATTGAATGTGAAAATGACGACTCGTTAATTTAAGATACTCCGTGGTATAGAGAAAAGACATATATAGAAATAGTGAGTAAAATTCCTAGTTGCATTTTTTTTAAAGGAAATATGCTTTTTTCTTATATTTCGACTTCGTCTGAAGATTGTTTACATATATTCAAGATAAAAATCCCCCCCCCCCCCCCATCCAAAAAAAATATGGCGCATCTGTCCCTTTAAGTTCTCTCGTGAAATGTTTGATGAGGTCAAAAGATTTAAGATCTAACTAGATATTAACCGACACCTGATGTAAAGTAATGTAAACACCACTGCTCACCAATACATGTATTCACATTTACAATATTGGTAGGTAAATTGAAATGAAAGAAATGAAACTTTACGTCTTACATTTATGTGGTGGATTTGTGAGTATGGATAAGATATAAGCTTAGTTGAAGACGGAATTGTCATGTAGCAGACAATTTGTCTGTGACTTGTATCATTTCTTATTAAAGTTGTCTGTATTATACAAAATAATGAAGTTACTTTGGGGACATTGTCTAGAACGTATGGTTAGTCCGAACTTAGTTTAAGTATATGATAGTTATTTTAGATATTTTGTCAGATGACAGTTAATGGCCCTTTAGAGTTTTTCGCAGCCCATTTGTTAATTTTTATAATATATGTTGTGTACCGGGTCCGTAGATAGATTCGATTATTCGGAGGGGCAAGTTATATATCCGAACGGGCAATGGTGTATTGTGCCCCCCCCCCCCGCCCTATAGCTACGGGCCGGTGTTATACTAAACATCATTCACATTGGTGTGTTGTGGGTGGTGAAAGATATCAAAAAACATCACCATTTTGTTAGGTTGTTAGTTTGGTTTTCCAAAAGCATTCTAGTTCCTCTCACTTAAGCAAGTAGACATTTGTGAAAAGAGCTTAGACTTTCTCGGACTAGTTATATGTCTGTTATTTTCAGTATTTCTTCGATAATTAATTTCTCTTGAGACGAGGCATGTGTCGTCTTATGAGAAATCGTTTGATAAGGATAGGTCGGCTTCCCTCTGAGGTTTGGTTGGAATAAAAAAGAAGTTAAACGATACGGAAATTCAAAATATTTTGGCAAATCATTAATAGCAGCTTTGAACTATTCACATGAGGAAGTATATCAGTATTAAAGATGAAATATAATTTGATAATAAAAATTGTGTCTGGCATCAAGAAGAGTAAGCGACGTAGATCTTACTATACAATCAAACTATGTGTTTATCAATCTCGAGAGACACGATTGTCACTAAGTTTCCGAATATAATGGCAATTGAGTGATACTGATTTTGACAAAATTTTTAAATATAGGGCTGCATTTTGTCTTAAAAGAGTTCGCACCATCAGTGTTCGTAAAGCACATTAGCAGTTATATATTATGTGTAGCAATCGTCGTCTTGCCATCGGATTTTATTGCCGCATTCCTTCTATAGAACCTCACTTAAGCCATTATTTTATTTCAGGATAGGCAGTGATGAATTTATGGGCAGTGTGACACTTGGACCAAGATACAATGGTATAGGACGAGATCACTGGTATGAGATGCTGGAGAGTCCAAGAAAGCCAGTGGCACAATGGTATCCGTTACAAGAGACCTCACCTTTCCCCATGCCTATGACGGCCAATGGTAAATGTTGTTTACGACATCAGTCGACTGAGGACTCCAATAGCGATGTTAACAGCTTACATTAAGCAAATCTGTCGCTAGACTTAAATGCGGAACATAACAGGATCCAGCAATGCCGTACATAAAAATGTTTGTAGGCAAAAATGCTTAGTTGAGATCTTTTACAGCATGTTAAGACCAGCCTTCGATACAAAAACGTTTTGAAGTCTAATTCAATTCTTTGTTTGTCATCTTCCCACGTTATTTAAATTGACCCAGCTGTAAACTGGAATGGATAATCCCAGAAAGATCTTTGTGATGACGTTTGGCCAAGGAACAGCTGATAGAAGTTGTTATCTTCGTAAAGAAAATGTAGTTTCTGCTTTAAGATTTGTCAACATGCGACGTTAAGGTCTTCTGGTTAAAGATGGGTTCCCTTATTTCCATTTATGAAAATGAAAATACTAATACTTCTATGAATAGAAAGAAGAGATGTTCTAATGACTTGGAAAAATTCCAATGTCTCACATGCCTATACTTAATTCATAATTAGCTAAATTAGAAGAGAATTACCAGCAGAATTCCAATGAGTGACCGATCAAGACTGTAAATACATGGACATTTATGATTGGTTTAAACTCTTAATTATGTGCAATAAGAACATAATGGTATGATTAAGAATTAGAAACACCAATTAATTAAATAGTTTGCTTAATTTGACACTAAAAAAATAAGGAAACCCATCTTTAATGTTTAGTTAATAATCATACAGTTAGGTATACACGATCAGTTATGATTTATAATGTCACATATCTGACAGCTGCGATTCAAGAACTTTACATGGCGTTGTCTCTTGCTAAGACAGACAATCCGTGCTGGTGATAAGGTCATGTAACTAACAGAATCAGTAGCTGCTGGTAACCGTCAAAGACAAATGCTTAAAGGGAGATAAATCTACAACCGCAAATCTAGCCTTTGACCCATCACATATCGTTTTTGCTGTTTTCATAAACATTTATGCTCAAAGCTCTGAGTTTTATATTATAACTAACTTGCTGGTTCAAGGATTTCCTTAGATGAAAAGGGACAGATTCGCCATTTTCGGGCATTGATTCGAGTCTTCAATATAATTATGTTAAAGGGACAGATTCGCCATTTTCGGAGGTTGATATGAGTCCTCAATATTATGTTAAAACTTAAGAAGTACTAGAAATATACGGAAATCACATAATTTCTCCAAAAATACCTCAAAACTGAGAATTTCAATTTATGTTTCATATAAATATGTCTTTTCAGTTTTCTATGGCAAGTGTTTCAAGAAAAGATGAGTCGTCTTTTTAACTTTGAAACGCAGATTAGTCTGGAAACACGTGCATTTGAAGGCTCAAACTTCGACAGTGACGTGTGAACACTATTACTGATTAGCTTAACTAAAATAATTCTCGTTTCTGAGACTAAGGTACGATATGTCAAACGGATGGCGAATCTCTCCCTTTTATAAAATGAATCTTAACCAAGAAAAGACACAATTAATTTTGAACAATAGCATACCTTTTTAATTGTCAGTCCCGCTATAATTTAAAAAATTTTATAAGATAAACCCAAACTTTTATATGATAATCATTAAAATGAATTAACCTTTATTGTAATTTTTATCAAAGAATTTTGTAAATTGCAGAGTTACTTATTTTTTGAATTTTCAAATTTTATTGTTGTTGTTTTTAGCCTGTGACGGCTGTTTTTATTTGTAAAGTCACACTTTAATATTCAAGTTTACATTATATTCTTGTAGTTGTACAAATTTGAAAGTGCCTATTTAATTGTCAAAAATTTCACCATAATATTACATTGTTTGCCCTATTTGCTATTAGCACTCTAGAAAACTATCTTCTATCTTGGGATTAGCTGTAAATTAAGAATTAAAATTCAAATGCTAAAAGTCGGGAGTCGTAACATGAAAAATACAGTAGAACTCGGGAGTTGCAAAGGTAACGTGACAATGCTAATACTCGTAAATTGTAACGTCATAGTAACAATGCTACAACTCATGAGTCGTAACGGAACAATTACAATGCTCGTGACACGTAAGTCATATCATGACAATTTCAATGCTAAAATTCGTGAGTTGTAACATGACAATTACAATGCTAAAACTCATGAGTTGTAACGTGGCGCAACCTCACAGTTACAATGCTAGAACTCATGAGTCGTAACACAGAACAATTACAATTCTCGTGACTCGTAAGTCATAACGTGACAATTTCAATGCTGAAACTCGTAAGTTGTAACGTGACAATTACAATGCTAAAACTCGGGAGTTGTAACGTGACAATTACGAAGCTAAAGCACGTGACTCATGAGTTGTAACTTGACAATTACAATGCTAGAACTCATGAGTTGTAACGTGACAATTACAATACTAAAACTCAGGAGTTGTAACGTGACGATTACAATGCTGAAACTCGAGAGTTGTAACGTGACAACTACGAAGCTAAAGCACGTGACTCATGAGTTGTAACTTGACAATTACAATGCTAGAACTCATGAGTTGTAACGTGACAATTACAATGCTAGAACTCATGAGTTGTAACGTGACGATTACAATGCTGAAACTCGAGAGTTGTAACGTGACAATTACAATGCTAAAACTCGTGAGTTGTAACGTGGCACAACCTCACAGTTACAATGCTAGAACTCATGAGTCGTAACACGGAACAATTACAATTCTCGTGACTCGCAAGTCATAACGTGACAATTTCAATGCTGAAACTCGTAAGTTGTAACGTGACAATTACAATGCTAAAACTAGTGAGTTGTAACGTGACAATTACAATACTGAAACTCGGGAGTTGTAACGTGACAATTACGAAGCTAAAGCACGTGACTCATGAGTTGTAACTTGACAATTACACTGCTAGAACCCATGAGTTGTAACGTGACGATTACAATGCTGAAACTCGAGAGTTGTAACGTGACAACTACGAAGCTAACGCACGTGACTCATGAGTTGTAACGTGACAATTACAATGCTAGAACTCATGAGTTGTAACGTGACGATTACAATGCTGAAACTCGAGAGTTGTAACGTGACAATTACAATGCTAAAACACACGACTCGTGAGTTTAACGTGACACTTAAAATGCTAAAATAGGGAGTTGTAACGTGTGAATTACAATGCTTATACTCATGAGTTTTAACGTGATGTGATCGCAAAATTGCAACTAATTGGGGTTTTTTTTTCGAAAATACTTTGCTTTTTTGGATGCTCGGACGATTTATGAACATTATGTCAATTTTTGGCTGTTGTTTATGCTGAATCTTTTGGTTTTTTTCGGATACACACACACAAACTAGAAAAACTTTTTGAATAAATATTCAAATGCAAGGAGTAGTCCAAAACATATGACTCTATTCCAGCCTCTGGTGGCTATTTTGATAGTTCCACAACAGTTATCAGAGGCTGCAATAGGGACAGATGATTTGGACTAAGCAAAAATCTCTCGCTGGTACTTCAATTCAGGAACCAAGTATCTGGAACATAAGAGGTCTTTGACAATTATTCATGTTATTGGTCTTGAGTCGATTCGGGATGCGATATGACCCCTTGTGTACACTAAACAATAATTTTACCATTAATTATAAGAGATACCATTTTTTCCTTTTAATGTTGTACATAAACCATTTTCCCTTTTCTATGTGGTACATAAACCATTTTTCCCTTTTAATGTTGTACATAAACCATTTTCCCGTTCTATGTTGTACATTTGTCATTTTTCCCTTTCTATGATGTACATATACCATTTTTCCCTTTCTTTGATGTACATAGAATACCATTTCCCCTTTCTATGTTGTACATATACCATTTTTCACTTTCTATGTTTCTCTTTCTATGTTATACATATACCCTTTTTATGTTGTACATAATGTACCATTTCCACTTTCTATGTTCTACATATACCATTTTTCCCTTTCTATGTTCTACATATACCATTTTTCCCTTTCTATGTTGTACATATACCATTTTTACCATCTATGTTGTAGATAAACCAATTTTTCCCTATTTATGTTGTACATGTATCATGTTTCCCTTTTTATGTTGTACATAATATACCATTTCCCCTTTCTATGTTGTACATATATCATCTTTCCCTTTCTATGTTGTACATATACCCTTTTTCCTTTTCTATGTTGTACATATACCATTTTTCCCTTTTTATGTGGTACATATACCATTTTTCCCTTTCTATGTGGTACATATACCATTTTCCCTATCTATGCTGTACTCGTACCATTTTCACATTTGTATTTTTCTACTGAAAATTTATCTTCTAATATTTTATGGATTGTTAATTTATTGTTAATAACACTTTCATTGTTTTCTAAACTAAATACATATATTTGTTCGTTTTTTCATCCCCACAAACAGAAGCTTATTCAGCAACGTTCAGAAATAGTGTCAGTAGCCTTTACTTTGCTGAAACTTGAGATGGGCTAGTGTTGATGTTTGGGTAGTGCCTTTAGTTATGATTTATCTGTTTTACTCTTGTCAGTGATGTATGAAAGTGTTAGGATTGGTTCAATTAATGACACATGGGAGCTTGAATTTGAAAGTACTCTTTTCTGCACCCCATTTGGTTCATAAGTCAGGCAATGCCATGCAGTGTTGAATGAGGGAAATTTTGCAAGGACAATAGCATCACTCTTTTTCATTTTCCAACTGTCGAGGGATCTTTAACCTGCACAGCCTGTGGTAAATGGGGCCTCTCTTTATCATCCTGTCAGAAAGACTGGATGATTTTCCATGTCAGCCCCTAAAACCTGCATGGGTCTAGAGAGGGGGAGCCGAATCGAAAATCCAAAGGTAATATTTCAACCTAAGCCTGGACCTGAAGGTTAGCAAGCCATCGCAGCTCCTCACTCCCCATCTTCACAATGTCAAGCTATAACTGGTCTTACAAGAAAGGTGGTTATTGCAGTCAAGGTATAAGACAAAGATCCTAATAGCTTGACATTGAGAGTTGCTCCCTTCCAATCAGTTATTAACTACATGTATCGCCTAATTAGATAATTATAATATATACACCTAAAATTTAAAAAAATCATAACCTCATAAGTATGCATGTCTTTTTAATAATATAGTGCTGTATCAATTTAATGGACCACATTTGAAGTCATTGGACATATCAAAACAATACATTTTCACAATGAACCTTTCCTATTCTATCACAGACAGTCATGGCACTGTTTATTCATCTGTTGTCAAGTTACTGTGGATGAAGAACTCTCTTTTTGGTCTGAAAAGACAGAAGTATACCATAGAAACAACAATGATTTTATTATCCTTTAAAGGTATACTACCTCTTAAAAAGAAAAAAATTAAACTTGGTTAAAATGAGTCTTTATTCATCAATGGATTTACCTCGTGTAAAAACTATACAGCAGAATCCCTATATAATCCAATAAATTCATTAAGTTAAACTAAGTAATAATCCATAAAACTAAGTAATAATCCATTAAACTAAGTAATAATCCATAAAACTAAGTAATAATCCATTAAACTAAGTAATAATCCATTAAACTAAGTAATAATCCATAAAACTAAGTAATAATCCATTAAACTAAGTAATAATCCATAAAACTAAGTAATAATCTATTAAACTAAGTAATAATCTATTAAACTAAGTAATAATTCATTAAACTAAGTAATAATCCATTAAACTAAGTAATAATCCATTAAACTAAGTAATAATCCATTAAACTAAGTAATTCTGTAACATGCTTAAAATCTTGTTTCAATAATTATTTAGTTTAATGGAAATACAGTTTTATATAGAGATTCTATTCTTCAGCCATGGCACCTGGTAAGTCCAACTGATGAATATATACACATGTTAACCAAGTTGGACACTTTAAATTTGTATGTCCATTTTAAGAGGAAGTATTCCTTTAACAATTCTCAAAGTGAGAGATGAAAGAAAGAGGGGCTGATATGGAATGTCTTGTTGTTTGAATGGGACTATAAACTGAGGTCCACTGTGCTACTGACTATACACGTTTAAGACCCTGAAACAGTTGGACATTGTAAAAGAGTGAGCCAATGCCACTGTCCAGGCATCCTTTATCATTCCATTGCACACTGCATGATGTTGCACGTCCTCATCATCTCAAACAGATGCAAAAAAGTAGGAAAACCTCACTGCATTTTTAAACAATTCTTCATTTGGAACTACTGATGAAAGAAATTTAGATGGCTCTGGTTACTTTCCTTGAGTTGTGAACTCAATTCAGATATATCCCATCTTAATTCAGGACTTGCAAGAACAGATATTTTTTTCTTTCATGGGTCAGATTCAAAACACAAACACGAGCGGTCCATTTTATTTTTAGGTAAATTAAATAGTAATTGAAACTATACAGACTATAGAATACATTGTGTCGATTCATACCTTAACTACCTTAATATAAAGTGCACTGGTTGTGTTTTGTTTTGAATCCTACTAGGATATCTTTGTGAACAATAGCACAATTGTTGTGTCTTCGCAGTTACTATGTTAACTTTGGCCTCCAATTAACCACATAGAATATAAGTACATACCTGCATCAAGGTTTGGTCTATTAGACTGTTTTTTATATTTAATAAAAGGTTCATGTAAGACATCATATAATCTTTTAGCCTGAAGACAAGAAAATAACTACTTGTTTCTATCAGTAGCGTTTCTTTGACTCATTAGATGGGGAGTGGGGGGAGCCTAATTTTTGTGAGGCATTGCTATGTAAAAATGTGAGGAAGTCTCTGGAGGGGATTGCAATCTAAACTGGAACATTTTTTTTGAATTGTCACAAAATCAGATGCAGGATTTCAATTCTGAAAAGTGATATGGATGGCTAATAATTAGCTCTATCAGCAGGTACAGTCATATATCTAAACAACTGTGTTCCATTAAGTTCACACATGTATGATCAAATATACCTTTTGTGGTCCAAATCCTGGACATAATCCTAAATCTTCTTTATCAGCATTCATGATATCTTCTATAGTCTACAAAAATAAACTGACCAAATAAAAAAAGTTAAGGTTTTTATAGCAAAAACATGGAAAAAGTTATTTTTCAAGGAAAATTGGCCTAGATACATGAAGACATTTTGATACAAATATTGAGTGAAACAACCATGCGTGAAGGGATTGAAAACAACTATTCAACTATAAATCTTTTATTCAATTTTTTTCATATGATTTAGAAAATACAACATATTTATCAAGTCTGTGGACTCTCTGAAATGAAATCTCAGTAGCATAGTTGTATCATTGATAAAAGAGTGTGCATAACCTGTCATACAGCCATAATGAGTGTTTTTGTTGGAGCTTAAATTAATTAACGTCCATGGCCTTGGTCTCAGAAAAGATTGACCTTAATCATAGGTCTTATCTCTGTTGATTGTAAATATGATTTTAGTCGACAAAAAAAAGGACTCACTTTAAATGATGAAATCAATGTATTACAATCTGTTTTATTGACTGACTTAACAGTAGTAAAACAATCAGTTAACTACAAAACACAAATAAAAAATAAAGTTACATGAAAAATAGCTTCATCTTTTGTATCAGCTTGGTCATGCAGTGTGCAATGAGGGCAAAAAATGTTATGTTCATTCATTTTTTATATCCAATTATCACAATAACTTTAAACAATCACAGTCTGACACCCTTTTTTTGTCAATTGTGTATAGGGCTGAGTAAAATGATCGAAATAATCGATTATCGTCGCTAGGAATTTATTATTTCGATTATCGATTATCAAAGTCCATAATCCATTATATGACAAAGTTACATTTTCTCTACTGTACCCGTTAACAAGTAGTAATCTCTTCCACATAGTTTCCATTCAGCACATAACTTACCCACTATAAACTATAATAGCCGATCAAAGCAAGAGTATAATTCTATGAATTTTGGCAAATTCTTAATTTAGTATTTACAGGGTTTCTCAATTAAGTTATTGCAATTATTAATCGATTATTGATTGGTAGTCTGCCATCGATAATCCATCTCAATTTAGTAATCGATACCCAGCCCTAGTCAAAGTCAAACCCATTACTTTTCCTCTTACTGTACAAATACATGCTAAGCAATTTCATTACTAGCTTACCTTGGTCATAAAGTTACTATCTGACTTCTCCATGATGGCTTCTGGTGATTTATTTTCATAAATCTTGTAAGTTTCTAAGTATCTTCCTGCTTCTTCTGCACTAGAAATAAATTGTGGATTCAACATAATCATCTCTAATATCAACTAAAGTAGTTATTAATGGTTTGATGAGGACAGACTGTAGCGCAGTCCATTAGAGAGTTGGAATCATTACATGACATCACTTGCTTGGTTAGAACAAAAAAATGGAAGTAGTGGGTTATAATCTTTGAAAATTTGGTGACCTTAAATAAACAATTTTTTCTCACTATTCTAGTTGACACAGCTGTAAATGAATTGGCCAAGGACTAGATGGTAGAAAGGATCTTCGCTAACCTAAGTAGTAATATCATGAAAAAAATAGTTGTTCTTTTGTTTCTTTCTTAGATAGGAATTCTCATTTCCAAATGGATTGTTGATTCCACATAACGCAAAATAATGTCACTTGCATGTAATATTGATTTACCATTCCAAAATAAGAAAAATTTCACAAATACAAATAAGAGCCGTTACAAATTTGGAAAATGAAAATCAGAAAAAATTAACCCAGGCCAAAAGCTAGAGTAATGTTAAGCTAGAGTAATGTTAAGCTAGAGTAATGTTAAGCTAGAGTAATGCTAAGCTAGAGTAATGTTAAGCTAGAGTAATGTTAAGCTAGAGTAATGTTAAGCTAGAGTAGAGTAATGTTAAGCTAGAGTAATGTTAAGCTAGAGTAATGTTAAGGTAGAGTAATGTTAAGCTAGAGTAATGTTAAGCTAGAGTAATGTTAAGCTAGAGTAGAGTAATGTTAAGCTAGAGTATAGTAATGTTAAGCTAGAGTAATGTTAAGCTAGAGTAGAGTAATGTTAAGCTAGAGTAGAGTAATGTTAAGCTAGAGTAATGCTAAGTAACACAAAATGTAAGAACTCACGTAAATGCCAAAATTAATGTACAATCAGCTAATATACAAATTTTAGATAAATCTTTTAGTAAATGATGAGGATCAGACTGAAATACAATAAGAAAACTTACAAAAAAAACCTCAAAACATCAACAACAAAATTGGGTTAGCATGAAAAAAGGGACAGTTTTGTAAGGCTTGACTTGTTTTTAAGACTTTAAAGTGATTGTTAAAGAGGTTTTCTTAACTCTTTCTATGTACATTGTGCCCTTATAGGGCATCATTCTAATTCTCAGTCCGATGTGTGAAGGTCTTGCAACTCTATTAAAATGAAGTGTTGCATCAGCCTTAGATATCTTTTAAATTAAATTTAGAATTTGCAATAGTGATGGCATATATGTTGAGCATTTCTTTAATTGAGCAATGAAATGAATTTAGTTTTACTTTTCTGCATCTAGTCAAGCTAATGAAGACAGGCAACGCCATGCAGTGTGGAATGAGAGAATTCTTGCCAGAACAGAAACAAAAATTTCCAATTTCCAACTGTTGAGGGATCTTTAGCGAGAACAGCCTGTAGCACTTGGGGCCTCAATTTGTTGTCCCATCCAAACAACGAGAAGATTTCTCCATGTCATTCCCTGTGATCAGGGAGTTGAAAAATCAAAAGGTATTATCTGCACATATGCCAGGATTGAACCCTTGACCTTCAGGATCTAACTCAAGTAAGTCATACTTACTAAATCTACTTGAACTAACAGTATTCTTAAATCAAAACTTCTTCCTAAACTTTTTAATCTATCATGAATATAATTAGGATGCAGTTGGTGATATCTTAAACTAAAAATATATATATTTCATTAAATCAAGGGCAATAACTTTTGGCATGTGTTACTTGTTGCTTATATTGCAATGATACAAAATGCCAACAACTGAATTGCGATGCCATCATACAAAATGTTGAAAATTTTATTTCATACTTATCTAAGAAATGAAACGAATAGAGTTTTTACATCCTAATTTTCTACACATGATTGGGCTAATGAAGACGGGCAAAGCCATGCAGTGTGTATAAAAGTTAAGTGAAATTTTGCCAGGACAGCAGCATTAGCCTCCTTTTTTTTTATTTCCAACTGCGAGGGATCTTTAACATGCACAGCCTGTAGAGCCTCCAAATATTGTACAGATCGAATGACTAAACACTTTTTCCATGTAAGCACCTTACCTGAGAAACAATGCACAAGTTGCTTGGCCCATAACATAATCTGGTATAATATTGCCATATTCCCATGGTATATTTCTTATATGTTTTAATATAGGGTTTCCTCTCTAAATAGAATAAAAAAAATATTAAGAATATAAATTTTTTTATTCTTGATATACTTTGGTGATAAATTTTTAACTGATGGAAGAGGTTTATAAAGATCGAAATATCTTCCTCTACACTAGGATTATCAGCCTATGATAGCTATTTTGAAAGTTGTTGGAGTAGAGACAGAAAAACTAGGCCCTGTTTGTGGGGATTTCCGCACCTCCACAGGTGCAGAGGTTTTTAAAACTATTTATTTAAATAGGAAAGATAATAACGAAAAATCCTCACTGTTAAAATAGTGCTCAATATATCAATTGTAGAGCCATATAGAAATTTCAAAACAGAACTTAAAAAACAAAAACATGTTATTGAAATTCTGTTTTAATATTTCTAAATAGGAAAGATAGATATCTAGAAAGTTCAGTCATTCATATCTATTCATGTTATGTCTTTTTTTAATATAGTGTGTTTAAATAAGTCACATAATTTAATCACAAAATATGCTTGTATCACATAAAGCCATAAGGCCTGACAAACTAAAATGAAAAAGTCTGATTGGAAATTGGAATGGTGCAAATTGGTGCTATCATTCCCCAGTACATATATAAATTAAGAATACCTCTTTATGATCATTAAATTTTGATCTATCAAACTTACTTGTCTTGGATTAACAATAACAGAATTAGTTGTACCAAGTTTAGCTAATGTTGGGAATGCTCTGAAAGTAATATCATGAAAGGAATAGTAGCTCTTAGAATGAACATAAATAAAACCAGATAAATCCATCAAACTTAGTAGGCTACCTGATAATAGACATAACCCTTGAACCTCAGATAGAGCTAGGCGATATACTGGAATCACGATAAATACTGGTATAGGAATTCAAATCGTTAGTAAAATCGCCTGAAACAAAACATACTGAAATTCTGTCATGTTATGATAGTAATTAAACCATATATTTCATTTGATTGGCTGAGATTTTACTAGAAAGATTTCAGGGCCAATTTTGATAGGACCATATCTAGCTTTGCATACGGAATTTCTCCCAGTAGGCTATTACCACAGTCTCATGGAAGTATGACGAATAGGGGTGTGGTTTGGACATGATGAAATATCACCCAGTCCTAACAGCCAATTGGATTGTCGTCTGCTAGGCGAATGGGTTTGAATCCTCCTCAAGGTAAGAACAATTCTGATGCCTGTGCTTCCGAGAGTCGGAAGAAAACCTTACTCTGAGTCAGCAGGTTTAGTCTGTTCCTTTTCATTTTCAACATGTTTATCTAAAGTTGACTGTAGTTGGTTGTTTGATGTTATTTCTGCACCAGTATTTGAATTGCTTTCTGCTCTCTTCTGCTTGTTAGATGATTCTATCTTCTTTGTATCAACCAAATTTGATTCCTTAGCAGAATCATCTTCTTTCCTTGTCTTAAATGTTGAAAATTTTTCATCCTACAAAATACAACTAAAAGTAAGCCTACAAGGATGACTAGAAATTAATGTATTTGCAAAATCTGGAAATCTTGAATTCTGTCAAGAAAGTAAATAAAAAACTGTTCTATTTGCACCACCAGTACTGGTTGTATTTTTTTGGTTTGCAGTAATGGCTTAATTTGAGAATCCCAAAGAGTAAATGAAGAATGGGGTATTAATAAGGCTTCCTATATACTATCATTTTTAGTATATTTTGGTATTTAGACGCACCAACATCATGTAAACACTTCTTCAAACCAGCTAAAAACCTTGTAACGTAATGAGAATCACGATTCGTAATAGAATAAGTAGATACTAAGAGAAAATAGAAACTTAAAAAATGGAATTAAATACTGACATTTTTACTACTTCCGTCATTTCCCATTTCAGAAAGCGAAGGGATAGTGAATTTTTTCTTTGTGGACGTCGCCATGTTTATATTTTGACCTCATTATCCAGACATTTTTTACAGAGACACCAATTTACGTCCTGGTGTTCTGATCATAATAGTTAAAGGTGAGATTAATCACCGCAAGTTGATCTATTAAATAAAAGGTGAACGCATCATAAAAATGAAAGGAGAATTTAGATGTAAATATTGTAATAATGCCAACTCTTACCTGTTTACAGGCCGTTTTGATTAACGTTTTTTTAATGTTTTGCATAGAAACTTCGTACACCTGAAATCACTAACTAGACGATTGTTTTGCAGTCAAAAACATAGTTGAGTTAAAAGTGAACAATTTAGGACTGTAATAATATGTAAATAGCCTCCACAAGCCCCAAAACAGTATGGAAATCGCAAAATCCTTTTTAAAATAACACAAACCAGAAATTTCCCTTATTATTTCTGTCATTTCTAAAAGTATGAGTAAATAAGAAATTGACGACAAAACGCCGATAATTCTGGACACACGTGGATTTGAAGGTTCAAATTTCGACTGTGAGCTTTGAACAATAATACTGAAACGATTTGCTCCTAGTTATGCGAATATTTTATGGCCGAGTGGGAGAGGGAGATAGAACATATCTCGTCGTTTAAACCTTTATTTTATGGAAGGTTTCTTGACGATATTTTTATCATTCTAGAACATTTTTGAGAATATTTCGAAATTTTAAACAACCACCACCCTTCTGTGAAATTGACAGCAAATATTAGCGAAAACAGCATGGATTTTTTGGACACTATATACGGTGTTCAAAGGCAACAACTTTCTTTCTTACAAAAAATTAGACATTAAAGTATTTTTAAGGAAACTGATACCCACCAACTTTTATACAAAAGCTCGTTCCACCCGAAGCACACATTTTCTGGAATAATTAAATCTCAAATTCTAAGATTTCATAGAATTTGCACCCAAACAGGCTGATTTTGAATCCGCCTGTAAACTAGTTTTTTGACAAATTAAGGGAGAGGGGTTATTCCAAAGATTTCTTCGAAACACGCTTTCAGACATTTTGAGAAAAAAATGACCCCCTCCACCTTTTATTGGATTCGGTTCATTTCCCTGTGGAGGTCCTACTTGTCGAACACACACACTGTCATGTTACTCATTTTTTCAAAAATAACAAGAACGGAAAATTGTTTGCGGTGAATGACCTAATTTCTTGCGGAGATCAGAATATCATATACCTAATTTCTTCTAAAAAATGCGATGTACAATATGTTGGCGTGACTCAAAACGCGCTTCGAACGCGATTCAATGGCTATTCGCTATGATATATATAGTGCATGGCAAGAATAGACCGATTGCGAATCACTTCAACCTTCTCTCTCATTCCATTGATGACCTTCTCATCATGCCTATAGAAACAGTTTCTACATCACCTAGCATGAAACCTAAGCTTAGACGTCTACAACTGGATCGATCAACTACAGACTGTGGGGCCAAATGGACGCAACATTCAACAAGATAACCTTTATAACGACATTTGATTCTACAGCTACCAAAGCCTCCATAATAGTCAAACGCCATTACTCGGAACTTCAGAACAAATTTCCCCATGTATACACAAAACGTTTGGTTGTAGCTTACAAAAGAAATCAAAATCTTAACAATTTCCTCTTTCACGGTAGACTTGAATCATTGATCCTAGGAGCAGATATTTCTTCATATAAATGTATCATGTTATATCAATAAATTAATCGATTTCTAAGTTAGATTTCAGGGAATACTTATTTCAGGACTGGTGCCATGGCTATATACAGTATATTATATAACATGCAGTGTATGTTTGTGTGTGTGATCTTTTCTAAGATCATACTAATGACTAACTAATTTTCACATAATTAATAGACTTATCTATTGCTCTGATTAGCTTAGCGAACGTGTCCCTTAAAGTTAAATCACGATTTTTGCCAAAAAGAGGCGAACCCAATAATAAATAAGTTTAAGAAACCTAATTGTGTCGATCAATTCCCCGTTTCTAAGCATAGACCTCGGAACGCAAGTTTTTCGCTCCCGACCTCTACGCCTAGAACCCGAAACCCAAGTTCTACTGACTGGATCCGCGCCCTACGTTGTGCTCCAGTCTCCTTTCTCTATGCGTCTAAGACCAGGAACCAATGACGTCTCTAAATAACTTAAAGACGTCATTGCCAGGAACTCAAACCCAGCCCCGCCCTGCATACTAAGAATATTAATATCATTACGCAATATATTAATCGATACAAGCGAAATCCTGTTTGACAAGATATAATAAACGGTTTAATATTCACAGGTCATATTGTATTAAGGATTGAATAATATTTACATGTAGTTGTATTGTAAGTATATTTTGATTAATTTGAATATTATGTAAAATCTTGACAATATTGATGATTTTTCATCAATTTGATTCTATGCTTTTGTAGATGATTGTGTTTGTCTATTCAATATCAACTGCATGACAAAAAAATGCGAAATTGTAGTCAGAAAATTGATATTTCTTATACGTTACCGCAAGTCAACGAAAATGCACGCGGAAGTAATTTCAGTTTTCCCAGTCACCTGCGCCATTAGTTCTGTAATTGTGGGTTACTCAAATTTGTTATATTTCATTTCAATCAGCTTGAAATATGAAATTATGTATTAAAGATGGATTTCCTTATTTTTTAGTGTCAAATTAAGCAAACTATTTGATTAATTGGTTTTTCTAATAAATTAGATCATGTATTCTTAATCATATCATTATGTTCTTATTGAATATAATTAAGAGTTTTAACCAACTGGTATTTTCCCAAGTCATTAGAACACATCTACTTTCTATTCATATAAGTATTTAGCATTTTCATTTTCCTAAATGAAAATAAGGGAATCCATCTTTAAATGGCTGCACGTTTGTGAACATATTGAACAGCAATACAGCAAACACATTGCTAATAGAATTGATGAGGTCATCATGTTTGTCCCAAGAACAACATTGAGAATTTTTAATATGTATTAAAACGGGTTTTTAAAACGAGTATCTTTAATGTTTGAAAACTTCATAGGATTTTATTTTTTATTTCAACTATATTCGGACATTTTCTCTATTAAGCTTTCATTAAAGATGGGTTCCCTTATTTTCATTTATGAAAATGGAAATGCTAATACTTATATCAATAGAAAGTAGAATTATTCTAATGACTTGGAAAAATACCAGTTTGTCTCACATAATTACCTTAATTAGAAGAGAATTACCAGCAGAATTGAGTGTTTATCCAGACTCTACACAGTAAGTAAGTAAGTAAGTAAGTAATTTTATTGAAGTCTCACCAGTTATACATAAAAAATATATACAAATAAAACACAACACTATTCAACTGCCAATCTGTTAAGAATTATGAGAGACATGTCATCATTATCAAAACATTGTTATCACAGATCCGGAAATTTAAAATATAATAAAACTCAATAAAACTCAACAAAATCAAATATAAATACAAATATTAACGTAAAAATAGTTCTATTAATTCTACATATAAACGTTTCAATTTTACTCTAAATTCAGGTTGACCGATAAAGGGTACATTTTCTATCTCTTATGACTTAAAAATCTATTGGATGTTAATATTGGCAGGATCCTATCCCATACTCCAATTTTCATTAAATGATATTTTATTTTAAAGGCCCAGTTTTTGGTTTTTTCAGAGTGAACGACTGACCACTTAAAGATATCTTTATTCAGGCGGCCCTCTTCCATGTTGTGCAGCCTACAGTAGTGCTTTATTATGGTATTCCATTGTCTGACTTCTAACGGCACCCATCCCATATCCCCATTAATAGCCCGATTCGGAGTGTATTTGCCCACTCCAAGAAAATATCTGCATGCTCTATTTTGTACGGCATTTATACAACTAAAACATTTGTCCCCCCAAACTGCAGCTCCATAATTGATAATTGGGAAAACTAAATTATCGTACAGTTTTGTGAAAGTTCTATAAGGGAATCCTCCGATGCAGTTAGACTTAGCAATAAGTAAACCCAATGCTCTTGAGGCTGCCTTTGCTACATGTCGTGCCGTAATACTGTAATCCAGATGTTCTGACAACATCATACCTATATATATATAGCTACTACAAATATCTATACTGCTGTCACCACATTTAAAGACATGGCGAGTTTCTGCAACCGAGTTAGTGCGGAAGTGAATGACATTGGGAATTTTTGGGAATTTACCAACATGATGACCAATTAATGGATGACCATTAATACAAAGTATCTACATACATGGGCATTTATGAACATGATAATAAGATTAAGAATACATAAAATATAAGGAAACCCATCTTTAAATCCGAATATTCTGTTGAAGGTACCCATAGGTGTATTAAGCGTATATACATGTACTTAAAGAGTCAAAATGTTGGAAACAAGGTCGTCACCTAGAGCGATAGCAGACAATGATCAGGTATTACACGCCAATTAATGTATACGAATACCTGAGGGGTCAGTTTCATCATCTGAATTCCTGTCTGAGGTATAGTCTGCATACCGTCTCTAACGAACGTTAATGTGAATTAAAGGGATTGTAAAGAGGTTTTCTAAAAAAAAAAATTATGTGTATCGGGGACATTGATAGTATCAATTTGAACTGTTCCAATTTGCAATCAGACTTCTGTGGTTCCTGCAATTCTACTAAAACTAAGTGTTTGATGACGTCACTAATCGCGAAGTCCTTATGTGATACAGCATATTTTGCGATTAGTGAATTTAAAAAAACGCCTAGTTTTAATGGAACTGCAGGAACGTCTGATTGAAAATTGGAATGGTGCAAATTGATGCTATCAGTGTCCCCGAAAAGCATAATAAATTTAGAAATCCTCTTTACAATCCCTTTAAGTATGGTTCAATTATATTTCCAGGAATTGAAGAGTTTAGTCCACCATGGTGTTTGGTATATCATATTACGAAGCTATTGAAAATAAAACTGGAAAACAATTCTTTATTGAGGCGGAAAATGATGAAGACTATGAACCACTTCTGAAGTATCTTGGTGATCTTGGAAGCTCGGTCAAATCATCAGCTGCAGCTTATCCCAATGATTCAACTTATGTCTTTCGAAAAATGGCTGAGGCCGAGTTTAAAAAGGTTCTCGCTGATCAAAAGATGCCGCTTCATTTGACCAAGCCAAAAAGTGGAGAAAAGTGGTTAACCGAATCTCTTTCACATACCAGAGAGTTCAAAAACGAAGATGGTGATCTAGTAGTTGCAGAATTCATTGTTGATAAGGATGGTTATAAGAATATCAGAGATCAAGCTATTCCTCAAAAAGGGTCGAGGGAATTGCAACCAAAAAATAGCAAAACAGGGGAATTCAAGAATATATTCAATAAAGAGCGATTGGGCAATGAATCCCAAAAGATAAATTTAGGATTGAAAGGAGAAAAAAATGTTGCACATTTTAACAAATTTGTTTCAAAAGTCACCAAAGTTGATCCAAATTCTTTCGTCAATAGCAGTCGAGTTCTGCGATGGATCAGAAGAAATCTTGTACGCACTGCTGGTTTGGCTTTAGGCATAGTCATTGATGCAGTTAACATTACCGTATCTGTCATAGAAGATGGTGGAACGTTTGGGAAATCAACTCAAATAGAAATAGGGAAAATTGTTGGTGGGCTGGCTGGAGCTACTACTTCTACCTATATAGGAGCCCAGATTGGGGCTGCCCTTGGCACAATTATACCTGGAATAGGAAACGTAATTCTTGGCTTTATTGGAGGTCTTATTGGTTGCCTTGCAGGTGAACGTCTGGTTGAGAAAGGTAGATACCTTTTAGGAATTGCACCAGTTGCACCTGGTCCTGGAGAAGTAGTATTGGATACAGATTCTTAGTCAACTTGTTTTGGAGCATCTATATTAGACCAATTGCTAACATTTTATAGGACACCAGTTTTAGATACCGACCCCAGCAAATATTCTATGGAACACCAATATTACGTACAGATTTAGAGAACTTTCTTTGTGGCACCAATGTTAGATACAAATCTCCAGCATAATAATTAATATACTTTTATAGCAATTGATTCTATGCAGATCGACAGCAAATATTTTATGTAACACCAATATTGGATGTGTACAGATCTCTAGCATAATACACTGTTATGGAGCACCTATAATTATTGATTCTATACAGATCCAAGTCAATATTTGATGCAGCACCAATATTAGATACATATCCCAAGCAAATACTTTATGTAGCACCCATATTAGATACAGACCGACAGCAAACAATTTGTTGGTCACCCATATTAGATACAGATCGACAGCAAACACTTTGTTGGACACCCATATTAGATACAGACCGACAGCAATCACTTTGTGTGGCATCTATATTAGATACAAATCGACAGCAAACACTTTGTTGGACACCCATATTAGATACAGACCGACAGCAATCACTTTGTGTGGCATCTATATTAGATACAGATCGACAGCAAACAATTTGTGGGACACCCATATTAGATACAGACCGACAGCAAACACTTTGTGGGACACCCATATTAGATACAGATCGACAGCAAACACTCTGTTGGACACCCATATTAGATACAGACCGACAGCAAACACTTTGTGTGACATCTATATTAGATACAGATCGACAGCAAACAATTTGTGGGGCACCCATATTAGATACACACCGACAGCAAACACTTTGTGTGGCATCTATATTAGATACAGATCGACAGGAAATTCTTTATGCAGCACCTATATTAGATAAAGACCGACAGCAAACACTTTGTGGGACACCCATATTAGATACAGATCGACAGCAAACACTTTGTGGGACACCCATATTAGATACAGATCGACAGCAAACAATTTATTGGGCACCCATATTAGATACAGATCGACAGCAAACACTTTGTTGGACACCCATATTAGATCCAAATCGACAGCAAACACTTTTTGGGACACCCATATTAAGTACAGATCGACAGCAAACAATTTGTGGGGCATCTATATTAGATACAGATCGACAGCAAACAATTTGTGGGGCATCTATATTAGATACAGATCGACAGCAAACAATTTGTGGAGCATCTATATTAGATACAGATCGACAGCAAACACTTTGTGGGACACCCATATTAGATCCAGATCGACAGCAAACACTTTTTGGGACACCCATATTAGATACAGATCGACAGCAAACAATTTGTGGGGCACCCATATTAGATACACACCGACAGCAAACACTTTGTGGGTCATCTATATTAGATACAGATCGACAGCAAACAATTTGTTGGGCTCCCATATTAGATACAGATAGACAGCAAATACTTTGTGGGGAATTTATATTAGATACAGATCGATAGGAAATTCTTTGTGGGGCATCTATAATAATAGATTCTATGCACATACATTAGATAAAGACCGACAGCAAACACTTTGTGGGGCATCTATAATAATAGATTCTATACAGATCGCTAGTCAAATTTTATGAAGCACCGATAATAGATACAGATCATTAGTAACATTTTGTAAGATTAGTGACAGGACTCATGTACAATAAAGTTTCAAAATTTTTCTGGCTTTTAATGTGTATTTATTGAACATAGCATTTGTTTGGTTGAATATTTCAATGACCTTGTAATGTGTTACATAAAAATTATGTCAGATCATGGTTGGGAATTTGAGAAACTTACACAACAGACTTTAATCGCTGAGTCTTGTGGCTCAACCATCAAAGGAGACTGTTTGAAGTCTACGGGCTCCCGTAGGTCATTTTCAAAAGAATTCAAGCACAAAAAACAAAAAACCAACAATAAATTTAGTTTTAATAACTAAAGATACTGTTTACATCTTATCAAGTTACCTAGGATGAATTATCGCATTAGTTGTGGATAGTTCTCCCCGATATACATATATATTTCTATCATCAGTACCTACATTTTCAACCTTGTCTTTCGGTATGTTAAATTCAAATGCGAATTCACATTTGTTCATCTTATTCTTGTACAATTTGCCATAATTATTTTTAATTAAAATTTCAGTTGAAGTGCTTGGTGGGAGCTCTGTTAAATACACGCCTTGACCATAATGGGCATGTTTTTGGGTTGTGGACTGCTTAATAGATCCACATTGTTTAATCTGTTCTTTAGAAATGCCATCACAGTAGTGGTATAAGACAACCTGGAATTGAAACACAATGAAAAAATGTTTAAATTCTATAATTATTCAATATGATTTAAATCTTTCTTAAAAGTATATCCAATAACAGTAAAAAACTTTGATAAAAACTTGGAGCAATGATGCAGTCTACAATATTCCCAAAATCGTTAAATTCCGAGAAGAATCGAGCCTTTTAGAGTTTACGAGCTAAAAATTTATTTCGTATAATTAATATAACTAATAACTCATACCGAATATTTTTTAGATTTTTCTGATTTTCAATACGGTTCATCCTTGCCTGATTAAAAACACGTTTCATCAAAATCCGTCAAAAAATTGTGCTTAGAGTGTTTAAGGGGGGCAAATTGAACGCGTGTTGAACTTTCGGTTTATCTGATACCTATATTTTGCATACCTTGATCCCCATTTCATTAACGCTTCATATACGCCGTCGTTTCCAAATTCTACTCGGCCATGAAGGAAACCAAGATTATAGCTACCAAAACCATATCCTTGCTCGTACCAGGCTGTATGAGTATCTCCTTAACGCTGGGTTGGAACACCGTCTTTTCGTGGCAATGGAATAGCTCAGTCGGTAGCGAGTTTTATTGTCGTCTGCTCGGTTCTCACCCCCTATTACCTACCAACCGAAGAATAGATATTGATCAACAGACGACAGTACCTAACCTTTTCTAAACAGGGCCCGAAACGAGCCAAGTCCAAGTCCAGCATACGAGTGTAAACGTTCACGCAGAGAGAGTACCTCTCTATCAGATTCTCCATCTACGCCTCGTCATTCTTTCGTCCTTTTGGTGTATACTTAGACCAGCAAGCCACCCCACCTTCTTTTTTTTTTTTTTTTTTTTTCTTTTTCTTTTTTCTTTTCTTTTTTTTTCAGCAAACGAGTCAAGCCGTATATCTCCATTCAAACAATTTCTCTTCGTTTTGATTCACAGTCACAGTATATTGAGCAAATGAAAAGGTGATACCTACCATATCGCTTATCTTGGACTCAACAAGTATTCTACAATAGACTTTACTTAAGCTATTCAATTCTTTAACTGTAAGTAGTAAAAATGTAACAGTAGTCATTAAGAAAAAACTTGTATTTTATGGAAGGTGCTGTTATCTATATTTATAAAGGAAACACGTCGAAACTGATCTAGAAAGTTCAAAGGTCACAGAGTCACGTGATACTAACCACCGTCAACACTAATTTACAATCATCCTATTACGGAGCGTCGACAAAGATTGGCGTTTTTTTTAAGGTTTCAAAATTTGCAAAGTTTTTGTAATATGTTTTCTTTAAAATATTCAAGGTGGACCCACCAAAATTTTTCAAAATGACCGTTATATTTAAAGATGGCCGCCAAATATATAGCAAATGTTTGGTTTTTAACATTTATCATTATTTTGACACACCTGGTGGTCTATACAGGGAATATATAATACCTAAGTATTAAATTACAGGAAAACAAAAAATGTCTTTCTACGGATTACAAAATGGCTACGACCAATATAGTAATTTGTCATGTGTAAAGGGCTTTGAACATGATTTTGAATATTCAATTTGTGGTGTTTTTCTATAACTATAAACGATTCAAGTCCAAATCTGCAGAAAATTAAAAATTTGCATGTATGTTAACATTAAGCATTTAATCTGGATTTTTAACCATCGGGATACATCCCTTGTGTATGACGTCAGCTGGGAACAAAGGTGCGAGTGACGTCATACATAATATTACGTCTGATTGTTAAATGAAGAAATTACTCCTATATAATTTCCTATGCATATTTAACAGTTCCAACTAGAATCAATAAAATTTACAACAAATTATGCCTTCCATCGTTAAAAGTGGAATTGTATTAGCTATTTAACGATGTTTTCAAATAATTTTTAACGGCATGCCTTTCCGAGAAAAGAGTTAGAAGTCGAATTTTGCTAAAAAATCACACATTCGGAGCAAGATAAAAATTTTCAGATTTCACTGAGATTTTAAATCTATATCCATCTCGCTAAATTTTCCTTTTTATTTTTTTTCCAATTTTGTGCAGGCGATTCTTCATGAAATCGGAATATATTGATACAGTACGGCGGCCATATTAAAAATAGCAGCCATCTTGTTTTATATAAATATAGATATAGACTAGTGAACCTATCTATTACAGTTTGTATCCTTATTTTTCTACCAATTGATACACATAGAGGACCATATGTGCATCATGTGTTGAAAATATGACATTTATGGCCATTTTGGCAGCCATCTTGGATTTTGGGGTCATTTTGAAAGATATTTGTTTGGTCCACCTCTTATTAGTATTGGATAGATGACATTCTCAACAAACATATCAAATTTGGTGATTTCTTCACAAAGTACATGATTTTTTCACCGTTTGACCCTACTAATACTATATTACGCTGTGTCATTTTCAGGGGTATTCTAACGCGTTAAAACGCTGATGAAAACACGTCTGTGGAAACAAGCCTTTAATGCAGCTGTCGTGGAAAAAAATATCGATTAATAAATCTTGCATGGCTTTGTCAGTCAGCGAATTCAGTAAAAGTGAACGTAGGCTATAAGTAAAATTTATAATACGTTTCATGGATAGCTGGTTTACGAGCTGGATTACAGCGAATTCAGTGAAAATGAAAGTAAAAGTAAGATTAATAAAACGTTTCATGGATAGCTGATTTAAAGTCCTACCAGCAATAAACGAATAACCAGACAATGTCCCTTGAACATTTAAATCAAACGCCAATTATTATAGTTGCTCAACGGTTATATTTATTATATGAAATAAACGATGGAATAAAAAAAAATATACATGTCTGCGAGACAAAATTTAGACTGATAACAATCCATAATATATTCTAACATAGTATTGCCAAGTTTCTTAAAATTTAAAAATTTGTTAAAAACTGTTAATCAGAAATATACAGTGAACCTTACCTCAGTCCTATGGTTATTAAACTAGATCGTCATCTATAGTGAGTGTATTCATATAGTTTCACTTATACCTGTATTTCATTGAAATGTGTTTTTCCAGGTAATGATGACAAAAGCAATTCTTTAATAATAAGGTCAATGGTGGTCAATATGACTTTCAGGTGAAATACAATCACAGAACGAAATGGAAAGGTTGATGAATCAAACTATCGTTTCCAGCTAAATAGGTCGATACAGAATATGTATGATAATGATTTTGAAAATTCTATGAACAAATTTATCGAAAAAATTCTTTTCGAAAACTAAATGACTATCTATTGAGCTGAACCAAGCAAGGTCATGCGTGGGCGGCAACATTACAAGGAAACGTGACTCATATAAATTATATTAAAAAAAGGCTTTAACAAACACCCTCTAGTAAATTGGTTTTATTAAGATTTTGTAACAGGAAGGTTTGATTCTCCATTGTGTATAGATTAAAGATGAAAAAGATACTTCATTAAAAAATTGGTTTGTAGAATTAGATAAAATAATAAATTTCAGAAGAAGACCTTAATTTCCTCAAATCTTCTCTCTAAATGGAATT